TCTCAGTTTTCCAATTTTTCAATTTTCCTCAAGTTTCGTGGTAATTGAAATGTTCTCATTTTTTCATAATTTTCTAAATTATTGAATGAAGGAAACAATCACAATTCAGTGATTTTCCCACAAAAATTCAAAAATCCCAAAAATTGGCCCAAAATGAGCTATTTTCTTTCGAAAATTGTTCGAACTGGGCAATAAAACACTACAAAAATTATTAAATTCATTTTTTTTTATTAATTACCACAAAAATTTGAGCAAAAACTATGAAAAATGAAGGAAAATAGAGAAAAATGGGATTTGCGAAAAGCTGTGAATTTTGCGAAATTTCCCATGGAAGAGAAAACCCCGCAGCTCGGCCACGGCCATGGACTGATGACGTCATCACTGGGAAAATTTATTTTGGGATTTTTCTCCGTTTTCCTTCGTTTTTCATAGTTTTTGCTCAAATTTTCGTGGTAATTAATCGAAAAAAATGAATTTAATAATTTTTGTAGTGTTTTATTGCCCAGTTCGAACAATTTTCGAAAGAAAATAGCTCATTTTGGGCCAATTTTTGGGATTTTTGAATTTTTGTGGGAAAATCACTGAATTGTGATTGTTTCCTTCATTCAATAATTTAGAAAATTATGACAAAATGAGAACATTTCAATTACCACGAAACTTGAGGAAAATTGAAAAATTGGGAAAACTTGAGAAAAATTGGGAAAAAACGGAAAATTTGGCTAAAAAAATTGGGCAAAAACGAAGGAATATTGAAAGCAAAAGGAAATGAAATAGAATTGAGAAAAAAACAATTAAGAAAAATTGGTAGTGAGGGAAGTATGGATTGGGGTTTAAAACCTAAATTAAACATTAAAATCCTGAGTTTGTGAAATTTGTGAAGATTATTTTACAGTTCTCTATTGTGTACGTTCTAGAAATTTCGAGACTCAAAAATTCAAAGCAACTAATGCCTTTCAGCAAATGCCCAACAATTTCCACAATTTTTTTTTCATAAAGAGTGAAATATATGACACAAAATCAAAAAGAACAATCAAAAGACAATGAGAAGTGAAAATTTTCTGCCGTAGTTTTTGAAAATTCAGAAATATTGAGATTCTGAAGTTCTGAAATTCTGAGGTTTTGAGGCCCTGAAATTCTGAAATTTTGAAGTTCTGAAATTCTGAGATTCTGAAATTCGGAAGTTCTCAGATTTTCAGTTTCTGAAGTTCCGAAATTCTCAGATTCCGAAATACTGAAATTCCAAAGTTCTGAAATTCTAAGAATTCTGAGATTTTCAAGCTCTGGAATGCAGGAATTCAGAAACTCCTTCAAAAAATTGTACCCCCGAATCACAAGCGTTGTACCCCTGTTTGAAATGGGTTGTACTCCAGAATCATTAATAGTTTTCACCCCAAATTTTTGAACCTACTAATTTTGTACCCCCGAATCACCAATTTTGTACCCCTAAATCAGTTGTACCCCCTTGTACCCCCCAAATTTTTTGCCAAGTATAGGATTAGGCCGAAAGCCTTGTTTCTTTTGGTAGTATGGGAGACTCTGTGGTAAGAAGTAGTATAAGAGACCTTGGTAGTAAAAGAGACTTGGTAGTATGAGAGACACATTGAAAAAAAGTAGTATAAGAGACAGTGGTAGTAAAAGAGTCTCGGTAGTATAAGAGACACATTGGAAAAAAGTAGTATAAGAGACAGTGGTAGTAAAAGAGACTCGGTAGTATAAGAGAAAAGTAGTATAAGAGATGGTTGTATAAGAGAATTTGCCGAAATCTCCGAATATCTTGCAATAGGCAATTTTTCTTCAATCAGCCAAATGTTTCTGAATTATGAATGAGAAGAAATAATGTTGGACAGTTATCTCTGTTCCAAACCACATCAAAAGCGAAATTACATTCTTGAATAACTAAATGGAAAACAAAAAAAAACCACTCATAATATGTAACGAATGTTGAAAAAATCAGGCAGCTATGAGCGCTGAAACTGTAGAATCCGACTTGATGTTTACCACATGAGATTCAATGCGATGTACCCTCTGAGACAATGCGATGTACCCGCTGAGTATTTCAGAGATGTACCCCATGAGAAAGCGAAAAATGTACCCCATGAGATTATACCTAAAATGTACCCCATGAGACTATGTACCCCCTGAGACTTTGTACCCCATGAGCACGATGTACCCCATTCTGATGTACCCCGGGAGAATGGGCCTAAGCAACTTGGCAATTTCCTTCCAGAGTTTTCTCGTTGGTGAAGAAAGCGGTGTTATTCTCGGTCCATTCCTTGTCTTCATCAGATTCCAATTTCTCGTCTCTTGGTGCGCTTGGGTTGAATGAAATCGTGTTGAGAATAGCTCTCTTCATGTTCTCAGACCACTCGGTATCTTCCTTCTCGAATTGAAGCTCAGAAATAAGTCCATTTTTGAGTTGTGCACGAACTGGGATCTCGAGAATCTTCTTGTACACGTTGGACAGCTCGCGTTGTTCCAAGGAGTTCATCACTGGCATCAGCTCAGAATCTGAGAGGTGAGAGGCAGCCAATTGGATGTCCACAAGTTGAAGAAGAATGTCACGGTTATTGGATTGAATACGGGCACGAGCAGAAATTCGTTTCGAACAGTTTGGTGATTGTTATAAACTTTGCACTTCATTGAGTTGAAAAAATCATTCTGATGGAAACTGTTTCTACCTATTTTATAGCAATAATGAAAATTTATTTTTCATGGTTTACTAAATTTTGGTTTGTTGTCCTTATCTAGAACAGTTTGGCAAGCTGACACCAGCTTTGAACCCTAAATTGTTTTTTTTTATCAATTTTCCATGATTTTGTCTGTTGCAGTTCAATGCTAGATATTCATACATCGACAGTCATATCAGTATTTGGCAGCTTCTCCACTGGCTACATAAACGCATATCTAAATCCTTCACCTTGTTTTGAAGCAAAAAAAAAATACTTACAAACAATTGCCAATTTCATATTTCAGTTTCTTCATCAGAAACTTCTTATTCAAAATGTTTAACTCCATTTGGATTTATTCCAATGTTAACGAAAAAAATTATTTTGAGAAAATGGATGATATATGAAAATCCGTCAAATTCAAAGTATACCACAACAAATGTCATGTCCAGAAATGTCCTAGAAGTTGAAATTACCTTTGAGTATTGCTGTTGTTACGCTGAAAACGCGATTTTTGGTACCGAAACTGGTATAACTCTGCTGAAATTGCGAGCGGGTTCTGAATTTTTTGAGAGATGCCTAGACAGGATATTTTCAATCTATCCTAAACGTTTTATCAAATTCTAGATCTTCAAAGTACAAAGATTCCCCTTGTGAATAATGTCTTTATTGATCGAGATTGGAATTGGTATAAATCATGAGAAATCGTGCAGAATAAATACATAAATAAAAACCGTGTAGAGTCAATAAAAAAAGACATTTGCAAAATGGCGGCAGTATCTTATCTTAAATAAAGGATGGCAGTGAGATTATTTTATTCAAAACCAGTGAGACGAGAGAGTGAGATTTTATATATGTATTTGTTTATTTGAAAATAAAAAAAGTGCGATGAGAACCGGGGAAAGAAAATGGTAAAACGAAATAGTCGTTGATTTTAGCGTGGTAGCATATAAATAACATGGGGTGATAGGCCGAGAAGGAAATAGAAAAATGTGAATCAAGATTGGGAGAATAAGAGGCACCGCGATTTTATTTATGAAGTGAAAAAAGTTGTGATTTTAGGCGACGATGACGGATGGAGAACACGTTTAGGATTTTGAGACGATTTTCATAGGAAGAGAAGGGGATGTTAAATCTTTGGAGGACTATTTTGGAGAAGTGGCGGAAAGGTAGTTCTCATTTAAGAAAAAGTTTGGAAAAAGGGGGTGGAGAGTAGACTGCAGAACAGTATTCGATGATCGGTAAAACATAAGTATTGAAAAGCGCAGCGTAGAATAACGGATTGTTGGAGCGGAAAGATGTGAGTAGTTGGTGAGATCGGAGCATGGCAAGGGCGTTTTTCTTGAGAAGATGTTGTTCAAATTTAAGGAGTGGGTCGGGGGTGAGGCCAAGATCGCTGACGTGGGAGGACGGGAGAATAGAAGAGCCGTCGATGGTATAATTATGATGGTAATTTAGAGAGCCTAATCGAAGAAGTGATGTTTTAGAAGTGGCAAGAGGGAGAGAATTCTTAACGGGCCAGGTATAAATGATGTCAATGGACTTTTGAATGATAGGGGCAGAATTATGAAAAATGTTAATTTCATCGGCGAAGACCGAAAAATGGAGAGATAGAGGAAGCAAAAAGAGCAGGTCATTGAGAAAAATTAGGAATAATAATGGACCGGAAAGCGATCCTTGGGGAACACCGGATGGAATGATGGATGGACGAGTGGAATCAATGTGAGAGTTTACTTTTACCGAGAAGGTCCGGGTGGATAGGAAGTCTTTGAACCATCTGTAGACAGGTGTGGATTCCATTTCGATGATTTGTGATGAAAATCAATGTTCTGAAATCGGGAAAAATTAATTTACTTTTCAATACTTTTTGATAACTCACAATTATTACTTTTAGAATTATTCAATTTCGTTGGAATATTTTCGTCCTCTTCATCGACAAGAGGTTCGTCGTCGTCATCAATACGACGTTCTTCGTCTTCATCCAGAAGACTTTCCACTTCTTCATCATTGGGATGTTCATCGTCTTTAGCATCAGCAGGTGGCGGAGGCTGACCAATCCATCCTTTGCATGCTTCCGCCCCACAGAGACATCTCTGACTCAATACCCTGAAAAACGTAATTGTAATAAGTATTTAAAACAAAAAAAAAACAACATACGGGTCATAATCATATCCATAATTGATGGTGAGTTCAGAGTGTTTTTCGATGTCTCTGTCGGCGATGTATCCAATTGCTCGGAATCCTTCCTTTCGATTGTTGACCACGTATTTTTGCGCAATCATGTTGGGGTCACAGCTATGATTGGCAAATCGAGCGGAGTTCCCGCGTTCTGTAGGGTCAATGTAGAACCCACGTCCAGCTTTGAACGGATACGTATGAATTACACCGATTTCCTTGTACTTTTTCTTTCTAATTTCTAGCTCGGCAGCAGTGATGATTTCTCCGTTGTAAGGAACGATGAAATCATATTTTTTGATGTCCCGAGAAGCGAAAAGACCGATTCCTTTCTCTCCGGAGGATTCGGCATAAAAGAGTTTATCCTTTAGTCGGTATTCTTCGAAGACTTGATTTCTGCATCCAGCCTTTTTCAGAGTACATGACTTTGGGCATACTTTCCTGTCACAAACATTGTCACAATCTTCAGTACTGCAATCACAATTTTCATCCCAACATCTGAAATTAAATTAGTTTTTTTTCAAGCTTGCAATTGGAATGAACTTACTTCTTCACTCGGACAACTTTAGCTTGATTCGCTTTGTAAGACGAATGTAGTATCGGTTGAACATTGGCGTGGAATTTCTTGATAGTGTTCTGCAAAACTTGCTAGATTTTTCTTTCTCAACAAGGGGACATCAACATTTTGGAATCCCAGATTTTGATGATTACTTTAGGATATACTGAGAATGGCCTATCTGAACACCTTTGAAAACTTCAGAATCCGCTTTCAGCAGCTCGACAGTTTCAGCAGATTTATATCAGTTTCCGTAGCAAAAATCGCGTTCTCAACTTGAATCTCAAATCTAAGACACTTTCTCAAAAAGATTGTTCCCAAATTTTCAAAAGTTTCCACAATTTGGATTTACCGAAAACCCCGTATTGGACGGGCAGACCTTTCTATTGTCCTAGGATGCTTCTAGAGGACTCTCCCAGTTTTTCAGCCATTTTTCTAAAAAGTTTTCATCGAAAAATTTGGTTTCATTTAATTAAAAATTCGCGAAAGCAGTTTTACAAAATTGCAATATTTCGAGCAAAAAATTGTTTTACAACAAACTTCTGTAAAAATTTAAAATTTCCGGAATAGTTTTTCAATGAAAATGTACGAAAATGTATAATTTCAAACAGCACATTTTGAAGGGGTCCCGTTTATTTTTCCACGGCCCTCCTTTAGTTCAATTCTATGTATAAAACAACCACATTCATGTTCTGCTCCTAGAAATTGAGAAATTCGTCTTCGAGAGTCAAGTTTTTTTTTGAATTGATAAATTGATTTTTGATACTGTAACTGATGTAACTCGGCTGGAACTGGTGGGAGAATTCTAATATTCTCAAAAGCGTCTAGGTATTATATTCTTCACTGACTTTGGAATTTAATTCAAATCTTGGGTTTACAAGGTTTCTGAGATTTCTTCAACGTGTAGACTTACTTTGATATTTTGTGTCTCTTGATTTTGGGTGCTTTTTTGTGCCTTTGGTGCTTGGTTGACCATTTTGTCACACAGTTGTCTTTGATAACTGAAAATTCAACAGTTTTAAAACAATCGACAAACTTTGAGATCAAATAATAGAAAGAAATCGGAATAAGTGTTACAAAGAAAACTGTTTCTCAGACAGCGTAGCGATAAAAAGAGAAAAAAACATTGTAGGTAGAAGTTTTTAAAGAAGGAAAGGAGAAAGGGGCCTTCATCAAAACAATTTTAGTTTTAAAAATGTTTTCGGGAAGTATTTTGTATGATTTTTCGAGAAAAAACAAGAAAAAGAAACAGAATGTCCTTATCGTCGCCCACTGCTGGCCAGCAAACCAGGAGTTTGGCACGAAAAACACTGATAACGATTATAAGAATAGAGGGAAAAAAGTGAAAAGTATTAAAGAGCAACTGCGCGTCAATCAGACCTCCCATACGGATAACATACGTAGTAAAGTGTAAATTTTGATATAAGGAAAAAAATAGTGTGAGACTATCAAATTTATTTTTTTTTTGGAAGTGACAGCAAGATTTTCGAAAATGAGAAAAATTCATGAATGGAAAATATGCTAATGAACACGAAAAGGGTAACTAGCAAAATTTATGAATAAAAATAGTACTAGCTTCGATTGATTAGTAAATTCATTTATAACCAGTCGGTTCCCTTCTCGCTCTTGCTGACAATACCCGTAAAGTTACTAAAAAAATTTTTATACAGGAAAATTCTGAAACTCTAAAAATTTGAAGTTTAGGAATTCTAGAGTTTTGAAATTCAGAAAACCAATTATTTTAAAATTTTAAGATTGAAGATTTCGGAAATACATTAATTTGATAGTTCAGGAATTTCGAAGTAAAAAAATTCGGAATTTCCGAAATTCAGCTAATCAGGAATCCAGGAATTTAAGAATTCAACAACTCTAGAATTCTGGAATTCAAGAATTTAAAAATTCGAAAAATCTGGAGTTCTGAAATTCAGAAAATCAAGAATTTCGAAATGTTTAAATAAGGGTTTCAGAAGTTCGGGATTCCAGAAATTCAGAAATTCTTCAATTCAGGAGTTTAGAAATTCTAGAAGTGCAGAAATTCTGAAATTCTGAGTATCAAAAAACACAAAATCAGAAATTTGGAGTTTTTGAAATTCAGGAATTTAAAAATTCGAAACATAAAATTTTGGATATACAGAAACCGGGTTCTTAATTTTTTTCACAAGGGAAGTACCCGAAGTGTCCCCTCGCTTTTTCTTAGATATTGGTGGCAAAAAATTCCTTCTCCTGACTAGCACAAAACGGATAATATAAGGTGCCCTTAGGCAGGTTGAGCAGAATGACAAAACTTTTTGTAATTTTTCAGAAAAAGTGGATCAAGTCCATTCAAAAAATCATAACCTTGTACAGATTGAAGGTAGAACAATATACTAAACTGTCTTTTGTAGAACAGATTACAGGCTACAAAAATTTAATTGCACCTAGCTTCTATCTTTGCGAAGAAATTTACTAAGATGGGAAACGTCCGAATGGTCCGATCGTATGAATTCAAAAAACGCCGATTTTCGAAAAAACGTATTTGGGGGACTCGATTCGTTCCATGTAATAATGCACAACTATGGTCTCAAATATATATTTCACCGTTCATTTACGACAGATTTTTGAAAAAATAATATTTTAAAAGTCAATTTCATGTAACCCTATACATAGTATTTTTTGAACTGATTTTTCTACATACTACATAAAAGCTCTGAGAATGAAAGATTCAGTTAGTTTAGTTATTTTTTGACAGAAAATGATCAGACCGTGATCAAGAAGTCAACATTTTCGAAAAAAAAAATTCACTTGTTAAAAAATACCATGTATAGGGGTACATGGAATTGACTTTAAAAAATTATTTTTTCAAAAATCTCTAATAAATGAACGGAATTGACTTCTAAAATATTATTTTTTCAAAAATCTCTCTTAAATGAAATAGCCATGGTCTCCCAAATACGTTTTTTTTCGAAAATCGTTGTTTTTTTCATTTCATACGATCGGACCATTCGGACGTTTCCCGTCCTAGTAAATTTCTTCGCAAAGATATAAGCTTTTAGTTGCAGGTGCAATTGAGTTTTTTGTAGCCTGTAATTTGCTCTACAAGTTACAGGTTAGTTCATAATTTTTTCATCGCTCTGTACCAAGTTATGATTTTGTAAAATGGACTTGATCCACTTTTTCTAAAAATAACACAAAAAATTTTGCTATTCTGCTCAACCTGCCGATGGGCACCTTGTCTTATCCGTTTTGTGCTAGTCAGGGGGAGGGACATTTTTTGCCATTAATATCTAAGAAAAAGCAATGGGACACTTTGGGTACTTCCCTTGTCAATTGAACTTGTTTTTTTTTCTAAATTTTTATCATAATTTTTCCGTTTTTGAAAGTTCAAAAAATTTTACTAATATTCCCACAACATAACCTAGAAAAAAGTCTCCAGAAGACGTCCAAAACAAAATTTCGAAAGAAAGACGCTGCTGTTTCGAGTTTTCTGTGGAATTTCGGGAAGTTTCGTGGAAATTGGAACACGGTAAACTGATGGCTTGCCTGTTATGTTATTGGTTATAGAATGTGAACTAATCAACCACGAATCAAGAAGAAGAATGTTCGAAAGAGAGGACGAGAGTTCAGAAATCGAACTGCGCATCATTGTCTGTTCGAGACGATGGTGAACCTTTCTGTTACAACACGTACCTTTTCATCAGCGAAAAGTGGGGAAAAAAGATTAATTGTTGAGAAACGAAACGGCTTGTTTTAAATAGATTGATAAAAAATGGCACTTGAGAAAAAAAAACAAATGAAAACGTACGACAGACTGATATGTAACCTTTTTAAACGTTCAAGGTGACGAGCAAAGTCTACATTTAAATTTTAAACTTCATAGAAGCTGGTATTTCAGCGAACGATGATTTTCACAACCATTTTCTAGAACTTCAATTTCGAATCAAGTGATTTCAAGAAATTGTGAATTTTGTACAGATTTGACTTACAAAAAAAATTGATTTACAAGAAGAATTGACTTCAAAAATGATTTGTTAGAATAAATGGTTTAGAATGAAATTGGAAACTGAGATGTGTCTTTTTTACTGGGGTTCTTCTACACCTATCCTCACGTGGCTTTTGCAATCCCACTTTTGGGAAGGGGAGTATCTGAAACACTGTGAAGGAGATCAGACCGTGTCATCGCTGGGAGTGGGTCATATACAGTATACAGATGATGTGAAGCAGTAAAAAATCAAACTATGTGAAGAACTAGAAATGAGAACATTGGGACCTTGGAAGATAGAACAACAAAAAAAAGTTGTTAGCTTTGTAAAATCTATTTTCTTAACAAAAAATGGACATCCTATTTACCATAGTGGCCTAAAAAACAAGACTTTCAAAAATGATGTCCCCGAGGCAATATGGCTTTGAAAAAAACATACCAGGAGACTATAAGGCCTTTTCTAGACCGTTCATCATTGTGGCTTAAGAAACTCAACTTTCAAAATTTAAGTCACCTAAATTGAAACACACTGTTGTCAATACATAGATAATCAAACAAAAATACCACAAAAACCAAACAGTTTCTAGATCACAGGCGTGTGGTCCTCTTGGGCCAGCAAGTCGAAAAGTTGACGAAAGTAGGTTTTGAATCATTAGCGACAATTAATCGAATATGACAACTAGTAAAATTCAAACCTCCCGCCAAAAGCTGCAATCAACATGTCTGAGTCTCCTAGGAGAACCTAATCTCTCACCCACAGCTTCTAAAGGAAAACAATCACACGGACAAGCGACCTTAACACGTACATATGAGTATGAAGAATAGTGGAAAGAGCACATCAACATCAAATGTCTTGTAAAATTTTGAAAGTTGAAATTTTGAAAGTTGAAATTTTGAAAGTTGAGTTTTTTTTTGTAAGTCAAATCTGTACAAAATTCACAATTTCTTGAAATCACTTGATTCGAAATTGAAGTTCTAGAAAATGGTTGTGAAAATCATCGTTCGCTGAAATACCAGCTTCTATGAAGTTTAAAATTTAAATGTAGACTTTGCTCGTCACCTTGAACGTTTAAAAAGGTTACATATCAGTCTGTCGTACGTTTTCATTTGTTTTTTTTCTCAAGTGCCATTTTTTATCAATCTATTTAAAACAAGCCGTTTCGTTTCTCAACAATTAATCTTTTTTCCCCACTTTTCGCTGATGAAAAGGTACGTGTTGTAACAGAAAGGTTCACCATCGTCTCGAACAGACAATGATGCGCAGTTCGATTTCTGAACTCTCGTCCTCTCTTTCGAACATTCTTCTTCTTGATTCGTGGTTGATTAGTTCACATTCTATAACCAATAACATAACAGGCAAGCCATCAGTTTACCGTGTTCCAATTTCCACGAAACTTCCCGAAATTCCACAGAAAACTCGAAACAGCAGCGTCTTTCTTTCGAAATTTTGTTTTGGACGTCTTCTGGATACTTTTTTCTAGGTTATGTTGTGGGAAAATTAGTAAAATTTTTTGAACTTTCAAAAACGGAAAAATTCTGATAAAAATTTAGAAAAAAAAACAAGTTCAATTGACAAGGGAAGTACCCAAAGTGTCCCATTGCTTTTTCTTAGATATTAATGGCAAAAAATGTCCCTCCCCCTGACTAGCACAAAACGGATAATACAAGGTGCCCATCGGCAGGTTGAGCAGAATAGCAAAATTTTTTGTGTTATTTTTAGAAAAAGTGGATCAAGTCCATTTTACAAAATCATAACTTGGTACAGAGCGATGAAAAAATCATGAACTAACCTGTAACTTGTAGAGCAGATTACAGGCTACGAAATACTCAATTGCACCAACTAAAAGCTTATATCTTTGTGAAGAAATTTACTAGGACGGGAAACGTCCGAATGGTCCAAGAGACATTTTATCTCGATAATTTTCCATCTTCTCTTAGGGGCTCAGTTTTTGATCGTTATCCCATCTCTTCCTTCTTTTCTGTTTTCTCCAACCCCTTTGCACTGTACTCATAGTACC